CTACAAAATACAATCTGAAATGACTTTAGCAATGTGCTTGACCCTTACTTCTCTCTCTCAGGGGATGGACTATTTGGGTTCTCGGCAATATGTTCACCGGGACTTGGCAGCAAGAAATGTCCTTGTTGAGAGTGAACACCAAGTGAAAATTGGAGACTTTGGTTTAACCAAAGCAATTGAAACTGATAAGGAGTACTACACAGTCAAGGACGACCGGGACAGCCCTGTGTTTTGGTAACTGAAACCAACAGCTAGGTTTCATCAGTGCTTCATTGGGTTTGCACTATTTTGAGAAGCTCTTTCTGGCTATTTTAATGGCTCTCATTCCTCTGGCCTGAGTCAAGGTTAGAGAGATTTTAGAACATTTGGAATTGATTGATATTTACCTTCAAGAAACACATTTGGCTATTTAACTAAAATCAGCCTGCACGAATGCCTGAGTTTTATATGACACCATTTTCCAAGGAATGGGAGAAATCTAGCCACCATCTCAGCATCTCCAGCATCCCATGAGAAGGCATTCATCTGACACAGTTCTTAAAACTGTGAGCATGTGGAGTAGGCCGGGATCCTTTCTTAAACACGTGCATGCAGAGAAGCTAGACCAGGGCAGTTAGGAGGAGGGGCAGAGGGTGACCAAGTAAGTGAGCATTGAACAGATTCAGAGAAATCCTGGACAGAGCAGAGCAAAATCTGTGGGGAGTGTGGCCATCTTTCATGCATCACCAGAGTCATCCTGGTTAGGAAGCCACATGCCTAGAACACTATCCAAGGAAGAAGCTGCTTAAGTCTCCACCCCCTATAAAACTGATCAGCACCCCCTGGATGCATCCTACATAGACATAAACAGAACTCTCCCATCTGCGGAGCCTAAACCTTTTCATTCATCAAAAAAAAGTGTGTCAAGGCTCTGCTTTGTGCCAGGTACTGGAGATAGGATGAAGAGTTTAGTGGGTGAGGCAGCCAGTTTCATGGAACACTGAGCATAGTAGTGTTCAGGCTTAGTTTTCTTTTTTTTTTTCTTTTTTTGCTTTTTTTTTACTGACCGGTAACGGGATCGCAACCCTCGGTGTTGCGCCCGCACCGCGCTTAGCCAGTGAGCGGGAACCGGTCTCCACATGGGATCCGAACCCTCGGCGGGAGCGCCGCCACGCTCCCAAGCGGCGCACTCTCTGGTGCGCCACCGGGCCGGCCCCAGGCTTAGTTTTCTAGAAGTCCTGAGTATTCAGGTGAAACCTGAGATTCACGGGGGTTTGTGGGAATAGATGGAAAAAGGCATGTGTGACTAAGAAGAATGAGAGACAAGAGCAGTGGATATACCAGGAAATGAAATAAACTCAGCATGGTTGGCTCATGAAGGGGTAGGAGGTTTGCAGGGGATGTTTAAGTCAGACCAGCGGAAGCTAAGTCGTAGAGCTAGGACTTCATCCTGAGAGCAACTGATGCCACTTTAGGATTTAAGTGTGGAGAATTTGTTTTAAAAAGATCACCATGGAATAGAGGGAGCAGGATTGGAGCCAGGGAGTCTGATGCGGTTCCTTCTACAACCCAGGCCAAAGTCAGTGATAGTGTGAACTAGGACAGTGATTAGGACAGTGACAGTGGGAGTTAGAACTGAGTGGATTTGAGGAGGAAATTGGGTATGAAATGCCTTGATCTCTGGCTTGGACAATTGCGTATCATTCACCAAAGTAAAGAACATTGGAAGAGGATGGGGCAGTGAGGTCACTGCTGCCTCTTCATGGGCTTGGAGGCAGTTCTGACCTGGGCTGGTCTTCATTTGTCCTTTTCCTCCTCCACACTGAGAGATCCTGTTCAGGGAAATGAAGAACACAGACTTGTCCTATTTGGGGGCAAAAAATGTGCTACTGAGAGCCCATAAAGGATATTGCTCTATATATTAAATGAGCAGCACAGCATCATATATGTAATTAGTGTATAATACATATTTTGATGCTTTGAATATCAAATTCTAAGAAAAACTAAAGATGTGATTTTTCTGAGTTACTCTGTAATGTTTGTTGGAACATCCCTTCTAGGAAATGAAGTTTCATGTTCTTTCTTTCAGGTATGCTCCAGAATGTCTAATTCAGTGTAAATTCTATATTGCCTCTGATGTCTGGTCTTTTGGAGTGACTCTGCATGAGCTGCTTACTTACTGTGATTCAGATTCTAGTCCTATGGCAGTAAGTCTTGCCTCTTCATTTGAATCTAGTACCCAACTAAAATGTGTCAGTCTCTGCTTTGCAAGTTTTGTTTTTAAATGAAATTCAGTCAGTTTGTTATAATGGAAAGGGAAAGTGTCACTTTTCCATTTAACTTGGTTTGTTACTTTACTACTTGTGGGTCTCTCAAGTCTTGGTCTCACAAGGAACCCAAAGTTCTATAGGACAACCTTGACTTTTAAGGATCTTATCTGTGTGAGGAGTTTCATGGGAGAGTGAGTAAGTGGGGTAGCATTGGGTTGGGGCCTTACCTGTGCCTCATTTATTCCTAAATGAGATCATTTTCACTGGAACAGACTCTTTGACTAGCGAAAGGAGTGGTTGGTAGAGTCTGGACAACTGATTATAAACTGATCACTTGGAATTAATGAGGATTTTGGATTTTCACTTAAAGTTGCTAAGGAGAAAAGCCTTTTTATTGTTAATTTCCAGTTAAATTCCAGAAATTTTACCTTTGTAAAATATGTGCAAAGTAAAACATTTTGTTTGGTTTTATTTTACGTAGTTGTTCCTGAAAATGATAGGCCCAACTCATGGCCAGATGACAGTAACAAGACTTGTGAATACATTAAAAGAAGGAAAACGTTTGCCGTGTCCACCTAACTGTCCAGATGAGGTATTTATGGGCCACTCCACAACTCAATTTTTATTGTTTTTATAGCTCGAGTTACCTAGTGGGGGGTCGGGGGGACATTAGCAGGAAAATGAAGTAGAAAACTCCTTTAAAATAGTTCTCTGAAGCTGAATTTCAGATATTTGAGAAATCATCTTTGGGGCAGATGATAGCCACCAATTATGTTCAAAGCAAGGATTCCCCCCCAAAAGTAGGCTCCCCTCAGTTTTATCCACTTGCCTACCCAAAAGGAGCATATTTTGGTGTAGCCTTTTTGTGGCAAATGCATATAAATTTTGCATTTTTGTGTGTTAAGTTTATCCCACTTATTAATAACATTTATAACATTTATTCAGTTTTCTATACTCTAAAATGAATTGAACCTTTAACTCTTTAGACTACTTAATATATACTGAACAGTGTGAGTCAATCAGTATGATACACTAGCATCTACACTCAGGTTCACCTTCACCTTTTAACTGGTTTTCAGTAGTGACCTGGATTTTGCTGAAGATCAGTCAACCCATGAGCTTCACAAATTTTAAAATATTATTTATGACCTATAGTTGTATCACATTTTCTCTATTTTATTATTCAAAAACTCCTGTCATCTAGTCTTAAAGGAAAGTCATTTACATTTCCAAAATTATTTTCGTACTCTTGATGTTTCTATAATTTTTTTAAAAGCTCCCAAATCTAATAACATTTTTACTATTATTTTTTTTTCTTTTTACAGGTTTATCACCTTATGAGAAAATGCTGGGAATTCCAACCCTTCAGTCGGACAACCTTTCAGAACCTTATTGAAGGATTTGAAGCACTTTTAAAATAAGCATGAATAACAGTTAAATTCCTCTGTTTATCAAGTTGTCCTCCCTCAACAAATACCCAAGCCATTTAAAAAAAAAATTTAATGGAAAAAGTTTGTATTGTCACTCAGCAAATACTTGAGTACATGTACATGTTTAAGGCACACTATGGTGCTTAATACGTGTAGAAACTTCCTCAAATTTTGGCACCATTAATGTAGTGACAAATAATGACAACCAAAATATTAGAAAGCACTTAAGCACTCCTCCTTTTGGAAAGAATATACCACCATTCATCTGGCTAGTTTATCATCACAACTGCATATCAAAGTGGGATTTTTGAAAATAAGAGGATTTGACACCAAAGTAATGTCTCAAGCTTTTCCCAGCTGCCAGTTGATCTGAATGTTTTTCTGGCAACATTAATCATAGATAGAGATTGATGGACTTAGCCAATATTCTAACATGCCCTCAAATTTCAATATCTGTAGAATGATAGACCAAGCATTCTTAAAATATTAGCTATGTTAGTATACTATTGTTTCTGTACAAAAACAAGTGTATTCTTGTCATCAGTAGGACTTAAACTTTGAGTTGTTTCTCCAGTGGTTTAGCTCCTGTTCCCTTGGGTGACCACTGGTACCCATTTTTGAGAAAACTGGTTATACGCAGGGGAACAGCTGTGGAGTATTTTGCTGCATGTTAACTCTTGAGAACCACACCTGTGCCAGTGCTTTCCTAAGCAGTATACCTTTAATCAGAACTGATTCCCAGAGCCTGGATGCTATTACACATGCTATTAAGAAATGTCAATATGTATCCTTTTATAACTCTACCACTTTGGGGCAAGCTGTTCCAGCATTGGTTTTGGATGCTGTATGCAACCAGTCAGAATATATACCACATAGATCACACTGTTCTTAGAGTGTTTCAGTACTTACCACCCATCAACAAGGGTTGATCACTATTTTGATCTTCACCCTATGGTGCAAAACTTGAAAGAAAAGACCCAGCTGGGGGCACTAGGGAGTTCAGGATCCATTAGACAGTTTTTAGTTTGCTTGTAGGTAGCTGGGTAATCAATAATGTTTAGTCTCTGATTCAATCTGAATCATAAAGATCTTTATGACCAAGACTGAAAAACTTTTTGTTAATGCTATCTAGTATTTGTTTGACATTGCTACTTTTCACCTTTTGAGCCCCCAAAGAGTTCAAGATTGATTTGAGTGGCAACGATAAACTTGCCATTTAAATTTACTGAATAGCCCTACATCACCAAAGTCCCTGTGTCAAACCTGTGGCCACTCTGTATGCACTTTGTTTACTCTTTATACAAATAAATATACTAAAGACTTTACATGCATATGCCTTTTAATATTAAGACTTCATTTTCAAAGCATTTCAAACAATTTGGTTACATAGAAAAATAACACTATAGATTGGGGGAGGGTTGGTAATGGTCCTTATTAACACCACTTGATTTGCACTTCTCTGTTATGTCCATTGATAACAGGGCAAAGGCCAGTAGGGATGGCAGATCCACATGAGCTATAATCCCAAATACCCTTCTTTTAGCTTTTTCAACCTCTTCCTGCTTTCACTTTGCAGCTCTGATGTCAAATTCACCATCTTCCCTTTGTTCTGTTTGCACTATAGGAGAGGTGAAGAGACTAATTGCAACAGGAAAATGGGAAGGAGAAGTGCAGGCATGGAGAAGCCATTAGTCATCTGCTGTATAACTGATGCCTAATCTTGATCCATTATTCATAGGTAGTATACTTCTTAGGCAGTTATCTTAGTTTAACTTTCTAGCTGTCATTTTCCAACAGAAGCTAGTATATGCAATAAATTATACCAAGTACAATTCTTTACAAAGCATACAACATATGTACCAATTCTAGACTTTGTAATTAAAACAGGATATCTGTATTATAGTCAAAAATAATAAGTTCCCCAAATGACAAGCTATTTTTTAATCTGATTACGGAAAGACTAGGATCATTGAGACCCCAAACTCTGTATCAATTACAGTCTCATAACAGTTAACAAACAGAAATTTCTAGATGGCAAAAGGTTTCTCATGCATTTAATACCAGGGTCTTCAGGAAATGGTGATGTCAAAAGTCATATGCAGTAAAGACAAAAACTCTTTCAGAAGAAGTAAATTGGGCTAAATGGCTGATATTTTTTCAGTCTAACACACTATTAAAGAAAGAGCAGAGTGAGGTATAGCTCATTAGCTCAAAATGGTTATAAATTCTATTATTCCACAAGACTCTTTCAGAAAGGGCAGTACTGACTGCTTTACTATATTGTGGAAAATGGGCATTTGATGATCAAAATAGACCCTATTCTAGTAATTAGATCATCACTAGTTGATGCTATGAAAAGAGGCACAGAAACCTGTGTTCCTTGCCACTTACAAGCCTGTTTCAAAGACTGAAGGTCTTTCTTTAGGTAAAGTAAATGGAATAGAGAATTATATTAGATCAGGGGCCAGCAAATTTTCTTTACAAATGGCCAGGTAGTAAAGTATTTTAGGCTTTGCAGACCATATGGTCTCTGTTGTAGCTACTCAGTTCCGCCATTGTAGGACAAATGTAGGCATAGACAATATGTAAATGAATGAGCATGGCTGTGTTCCAATAAATTTTTATTTATGGACACTGAATTTTGAATTTCATGTAAATTTCATGTCATAAATTTTCTCCTCCAACCAGTTAAAAATATAAACATCATTCTTAGCTTGCAGGCAGCACAAAAAAACAGGTGGTGGACCAAATTTGGCTCAAGAGTGTAGTTTGCCAACCCCTGTATTAGATCACCAAAGATAATACCTTGCGTTTTTCGCAGAAGGTATAAATGGTAAATAACATCTTAAAGCATCTGTAGTAGTGCATACCTTGGATATCACTATCACTGTATGTTGGGTTTAATATTGTATGGCTGGTGTGGGGTAGTAATTGAGTTTGCATGTAGAGTGTCTTTATAACATTACCATCACCACATTTGGTATTGCACCCTTGTAGTTCTAGGAAAAGTTCTAAAAATCTATAAATGAGATTACTTCTAGGGAAATAAATTGAAATGCACATTGGCTTATAAGAAACTCTTCTAAGGCTCAGGAAACAAGACTGTTTCCCATTTATTGCTTTAAATTTTATACATGGTGTTAAAATTATTCCCAGTCCTAAAACAAGGAATATTGGAACATTGTTAGTTTCTCCAATGAATTGTAGTTAATATCACATCGATTAAGATGCATCTAATTCTAGTGGAAAATGTTCTCAATTGATGTCTCTTATTGCTACTTATTTTTATTTGGCAATTCTGCCTGCTGCATAACACAGTTCCTTCTGGGAAATTATAAACCCGTATTTAAAGGATATGGCTAGTCTGAATGAAGTTAAGGCAGCGATGAACAGCAGAGATACTGCAAAGAACCTTAGGAGGTTATAATGAGAGCTTAACTCAGTACACACGCTTCTTTTTTAAGTAGGTTTCCACATAATATGCTCCTGTGCCCTGAGAATGCTGGTCAACAAATTCCATTGAACCACCTTCTGGGGCAGAGATGAGATACGATGAGCCTCGCTTTTCATTTCTTAAAGATGACACCTATGAGAAAATAAAACCACAATTAAAATTGGTTTTTTTTTTTTTTCCTTTTTGTCTTTTTTACTGACCGGTAACGGGATCGCAACCCTTGGTGTCATGCCCGTCCCGGGGACCGGCAACGGGATCGCAACCCTTGGTGTCATGCCCGTACCGGGGACCGGCAACGGGATCGCAACCCTCAGTGTTGGGCCCGCACCACGCTCAGCCAGTGAGCGGGAACCAGTCTCCATATGGGATCCGAACCCTCGGTGGGAGCGCCACCACGCTCCCAACCGGCGCACTCTCCAGTGTGCCACTGGGCCGGCCCTAAAATTGGTTTATTCATTAAAGATGTTTATAAGAAAAAGCACTCAACTTTGAGTTGGTATAAATACAAAATAGCTGGCTAAATATCAGCTACCAAAAAATAAACAAATTCCTTTGTTAAATTATATTTTAAAATTTCTATATCAAAATCACCCTTGGAACTTTGGCAAAACACAAACAAGCCTGAATACCTTCACCACCTACATCCAGCATTTTGGGGAAAGAAGAAAATAAGAGCACTGTATTCGCTTCTACTAATCCCACCTAGTTAGACCCCACTGAATCTCAATACCAATACCAAATATGAATATTCCTCTGAGGAAAAAGAGTGGCTAAGAAATTGAGCTGCATGTTGAATTAGATGGTAAATCTGTCTAGTAATAAAAAGACTGGTGAGAGAATAAACTAGTAGATATAAAAACTGGCAAATGATGTCGGTCTAGAGAGCAATGGGAACTCAAAACTTTGATCTCCAAAATAATCACGCAGAGAGCATGTTAAAATGCATCTATTCAGGCTCCATCCCAGAGATTCTGATCTGGAAGTGGGCCAAAGTTTCCACACAAGTGGTGACAGTAATCAATACAATAAATCAGATGTTGTAGCGCTACTTGTGATTTCCTAATCCCTCTTAGTTTTAGGTTTTACAAATACTAAGTGTGACAAGCTTTTAAAAGCAGAATTATATAACTTCCTATACAAGGATGTAGAAATGACTGATAAGGAAAACTTCCAGCAACACACAAGAGCCTTTTCAGATTATAATTAAAATTGCAATTGTTTTGAACCAACAGAGGTCACAATTTTTAAAACTGGAGCCAACTTTAGAGGGCACAAATATTTTATTTCAGTGTGGTTTACTGTTGAAACAGTACAATAAAATCCTTCAAGCACGCCTGGTTTAAAGAAATGTTTCACAGAGTGAAACACTGACTAGCAAAGAATTTGGCTTTAACTTCTGTCTCAAAATGTTTCCTGTTAGTAAATTGTCTAAAATTTAATCTGAAATAATCTGAGGAGGGGTGTGGGTGGGAGTATAGATGAAATGAGACTGGCCATAAAGTGCAAACTGCTGAAACTGAGCTGATGGGTGGAAGGGATCCAGCCCTAGAGAAGGGCTGCCTGCAACAAAACTTCTTGCTCGCCTTCGTAGCTGCCTCTTCACCCTAAACCCTCTCTTCTCACTATCAAGCCTCTTCATTACTCTCTCCAAGTGCCTTCTCTGTTTCATTCCCTTTGTTGGTTGATCTTACTGCATGTTAGACCCCAACCACTAATGCTCAGACCCTTACTTCAGGTACAAAGAATTTTTTTTATCAGCTTTCTTCCTCTTATAAATGATCAGAGCATTTTACAAATGAGATTTCTGTAAAGGGGTAAGAAGCAAGCTCTTCACTCTGGGAGCTGGAACTCTCATGTTCTCCTTGCTTCCCTCCCCTGATCATTCCTGCTATGTAGTCACTCACTGTTTCATGTTTTGGCATAAAGGAAAGCAACAGCCTGAATTTTCCTCTCTTTCTATACCATCTTTATTCTCAGATGTCCGGTAGGAAATTTACCAGATTATTTCATTCAAAGGATTTCCCACCAGTGCACCATTCACAGAACCAACTGTGATCTATGAGATGAACAAAAAACTTCACTGAGGGCCAGCCCGGTGGCGCACTGCTACAGTGCGCCGCTTGGGAGCACAGCGACACTCCCGCCGAGGGTTCGGATCCCACATACAGACCGGCCGCTCACTGGCTGAGCGAGGTGCGGGCGCAACACCGAGGGTTGTGATCCCGTTGCCAGTCCCGGTCCGGTACGGGCGCGACACTGAGGGTTGCGATCCGTTGCCGGCCACGAAAAAAGACAAAAAGGAAAAAAAAAAAAAAAACTTCACTGAGCAGTACAGGAAAATATTAAGAACAGGATTTGAAAATGGATGTCACTATAGCCCATATGATACAGGGAGAAAAATAATTTTGATACTTTCTATCAAAGTTATCATTTAGCATAATGACTGATGAATAGGGAATAATATAGTTCACCAGGATTTTTGAAACAAAGCTCAATGCTCTGGGAGAAAGAAACCCATATCTAAAAACCAATTAAAAAAAAAACCACACACACACAAAAGAGAGAAAGTATAAAGCAAGCAAATGTTTTTCCTTCTATTTCATATTTGCAGGATACAGACATCCACTCTTCACAGTAACTACTGAGGGCACTGGCTGTGTGCTGTGGGATTCACCTAGATGACCGAAACTTGAAATGTGGCCTCCAAGAGCACATATTATAGGAGGGGAGGCCAGAGAACACAAAACATAATTCTAAAAGGAAAAAGTCCCTTTGCCAAAAGAAATAAAGGTGAATAGCTAAAGCTTTTTCCGGGAAAAGGAAATGAGGGAGGGTTTTGAAAGGTATGGATGATGGTTTCATGGATGAGATGGCATCTGAGTTAGGATTTGGAGGTGAGGTCAGAGGGGGACATGAGGAGACATGGGAATGACCTTTCTAGGAGAAGAGTCCAAGCAAAGGCAAGATGGCAGGAAAGCATGGGCCTGTGACAGGACATTGTGGCTGGGAGATGGCAGAGAGCAGTGGTTAAATGAGGTTGGAAAGGAAAGCTGGTATCAATCAGGGAGAGGCTGGAATGCCAGGCCAAGGATTATAAACAGGGATGATATGCTTATTGTTAAAATTAATAAGCAGCTCCATAAGAAAAAATATGACAATGGAAGAGAGGCATTAAGATGTCTCACCAGGAGGCTAGTGAACTTATCTATGCTATTAGATGTATTTATGTGAGCAAACACACAAATTATAATGTGATTTAAATTTGCGTTTAAAGTTTTACATGGAACATACAGGTGAGACAGAACAAGTGGTATACTTAGAAAATCTGAAAAAACAATTTCAATGTCCATTTATGCTTTGAAGACTAACCAAAGAGAAGACATTGAGAGAAGTTACGATATTCTAGGGTTGCATGTGTAATATTCAGTTGGAAATAAGATCAACAAAATAGCCAAACTGTGGCATAGTTGGAGAAGTATAATTTGATAGAATGTAATTATGGTGGTATCCTGCATTATCCAATATTTTATAATTTAGAGTACTTTAGCCCATTGTATCGCTAATCTTCATAGCATCCCCATGGAGCAGGCAGAAAAGGAATTATCACCTCCATTGAATATCTATCCAAAAACAAAAGCTTAGATACCGAATGTGACTTGGCTAAAATACCTGGCTATTTAATGTCAGAGTTGTGACTCTAATTTTTCACCTTAGTGAAATCATACTAATTATTATACTAATTTGCCTTGTTTAAAAAAATTGAGTGAACAGCTAAATGTGGAATCATTATAAGTTTTGGGGAAGTTTTAATAAAAGTAAATAAGCATCCAAATATTGATTTTTTTTTCAGTCTTCTAGATGTCATAATATAGAGAGAAGGGCAGGGCCCCAAGGAAATGATGCATACAGAATCCTGTGAAGACCGAAGTGATTTATTTTTAGACAAATGGTCTTCACATTACAGACATTAAAATCTAAATTTTGTGCAGTTTTTATCACAACATATATAACTTTAATAAACCTTAGATATTTTGATGTGACATTCTGAGGTATAAAATCACACACAATGTAGTAGCAACTTCCATTATTTATATATATATTTTTTTTTTTTCGTGTCCGGCAACGGATTGCAACCCTCAGTGTTGCGCCTGTACCGGACCGGGACCGGCAATGGGATCGCAACCCTCGGTGTCGCGCCCACACCTCGCTCAGCCAGTGAGCAGGAACCGGTCTGTATGTGGGATCCGAACCCTCGGCGGGAGCGCCACCGCACTCCCAAGCGGCGCACTGTAGCAGTGCGCCACCGGGCCGGCCTGCAACTTCCATTATTAGCATAGCTTTCTGCTTCTAGTTATTAGAATAAAGTTTGTCTCTACTCCATTCACATTAAATGAGCTTGAGGCAGCATTTTTACAAATTAAAAAAATTCTCAGTGGGGCAAAATTTAATATTCCTTGGTTTTCTCAAATATACTTGTAAAAATTTAGACCTCAGTCCAGTTCAAGTGATGCTGAAGATTTGTACCTTTGGCAGCAAATAACTAACACTGAACATGTACAATACCCCTGGTGCTTTAATACATTAATTCATTTAATGTTCAGAACAACAGCCCTGGAAGGTAGGGAGCTCTGAAAGTAACTTGCCACAAGTTGCATAGCCTGCACTGGGAGCTGTATGTTCATCTCGAAGTCTGAGTCCCATCCCAGTCAGAAGAATTCTGAAAAGGGTTGAGTCAAGGTCCTACCCAATGATTTAGTCCCTAGGCCTCATCTTCCATGTGGCGTTATTACCCCCTTCAGTGTAAATACTTCCAACAGAATACTCATATTCAGACAACTCTAATCATTAGCAAGGTCTTCCTTAGGTTGAGCTCAAACAACCCTATGAATTGTTTCCACCCAGTGATTACAATTTGTCCTTTGGAATTACAATCCAAGTCTAATACTTCCTTATCTACATGGTCATAACTTCAAAGGAACCCCTTAGGCTGCTGGGCAATCATACTATATGCTCTCCCCTCTCCTAGGTGACGGTTTCAAACCTATCCTCTCCTTGAACCTCCACCAGTGGATCCCTTATCTTCACTCTCAGCTGATGATTTGCTTTCTATGTCACTGAGAAAACAGAATCAA